TTGCTTCTTCAACTAAGATCCCATAAGGCCTAACAAAAACGCTCATGTGGCTCATTCACTATGAGCCCCTTAACGCCAGAACCACAATAAATAATATGTATAATACAAATCAAAAACAGTAAAAGTATCTAGGAACCATGAGAATACTGACCAATGTAACACCATAATCATAAAATATATCAATATCAAGGCTATGTTAATCTTAACGTTAATTATAATTCTAAGAATTACAAATAGCTTAAGTAAATTATATTAATTAGATAATGGGTCTAGAAGCCTTAATAGGCTTGACCAATAAAAGAAATGGAAAATCGCGTTGAATATCTTAGACACAAGCTAGAATTAGGGTTTCTACCCCCATTTATAGGTTGGCCACCCCTTGGAGGTCAGAGTTCGGGTTTTGTGCTAAAGTGGATGAACTTCTAGTTATGGTAGGAGATGCCCGTGGGATAAGGACGAGATCTGGCAACCACAATATACCAGATAAGTATCTAAAACCGTGTTTATTTAATAAAATCTATATAATAACCTAATCTTCTAGGAAGAACCATCATTGTTGCAGAAGTTCATCAGGGAAATCATCAAAAAAGTTATGTGACATATTTTCCATTTATTGTTCAATCTCTATCGCCTTGTGATCAAATTTGAATACATAATATTCATTGTTCTTGATTCTCTTTAATTGTTCTTCAATTCCTAAGGTCTTTCATGTATAACCATGTTAATTATTGAGATAAGAATTTAGTTTCATATGTTTAACTTACACGTTAGATCATCGTATGAATCCGATCCTTATTAGGGTTTGTAGTATATGGTTAGGATTATCAATGGAACCCCTAGGTTCAAACTGTTGCTTGTTAGGGAAACCCGAAATAAATCCTTTAGGTTCAAAATCATTAGTAGATCAAACTGTAGTAGAAAACCCATTCGAATATAGCTGCAAACAAGACCGAAACCCATGGTAGCCAGACTAGGAGGTCAAAATGACTGGTCCACCGTCCATGGCCTAGACCAGTCTGAGTAGCTGGTCCATCAACCGCATTCTTGGACCCGTATTACCAGCCAGTGCACCGCCTTGTTCAGTCTGTTTTGATGTATTAGCTTTTGTGATGTATTTCCTAGTTGTACAAATGTTTGTAGAGAGTACCTAGTTTGACTTAGGAGTCTGAACTTATGGTCTAATGTTGGAGTAGGATAACCATAGAGTAGTATACACAATTCCAGTTGGTATAGGATTAGCTTATCAGATATCCCCGTTGTAGTGTGATTAGCATGGTAGCAATCCTAAATGCTATAGAATTAGCACAAACCTATTCTAGTTTGAATAGTCTAAAATCCTATTCTAGCTTGAGTATGGTTTAAAAAAAGGTGGTATCCTATATGCAGTAGACTTCATACCCGACCATCATAGCTCAAAATGTAGTCATAATCGGCTGGCTCCCCCACACCATAAGTTGAGTATAGGTGGTAGAGTAGCTAGTCTAGCTAGATACCCTCAAAGTGGCTAATTGTTTGTGAAGTCAAGAAAGTCTAAGTTGCAACTGTTGATGTAGGAGCTGGAACAGCATAGGCACCCTGATTGATAGGCATGCAGGTCTTTACACCACGGAAAGGAATCTAAACACTGAAAAGTTGTGTTTTAGAGTGTGAAGTTGTGCTAACCAGTAAAGGATACTGGTAGACTCTCCTAGAGATGTTAATAGTTGAGAATCTAAGACTAGTGTATTCATGGTGATTAAATGAGTTCCCACAGGTTTGTACATGGACCATATTATACAACTAAAACTAGGGATATTACCTGACAATAATTAATAAATTGATGGAAAGGTTAAAGGAGGGGGTGCAGGATAACATGTTCTGGCACCATCAGGTATGGGATATGTTATGCAGAATATACGTGAAGCCATAGAATGAGTAGTTAGGTGGATAGACTATTGTTTCCTAGGTCTCCCACAATTTAGCTAACAACCCAGCATGGACACCATGCATTGCGCACGTAGACTTGATCCCCTAGCATTCAACACGGTTGGTTGACTACTATATGTTGGTAACACTAGGACTAGTGCATAACAACATCGAGTACAAATCTAACAAATAAAACTTTGTTTGTTTACATGTGGGGGAAGGGGGAATAATATAGGATGTTGTCCAACAGGCTTAATGCGAGGCCTGGGCACAAGCTTTGACCTGGCTAATGTATGCATTGGGGCTATAGACAGACTGGTACTGTCAGTGATTGATATTATTTGCATTAATGCATAGGAAAGCATCACCATAAACTAACCTAATAAAGGACATTGCTCTATTTTAATTCGTGAATTTCCCTTACCAGTTATAGTTACAGTGTTAGCATATCTAAAGCTAGAACGATCCCAATATTAGACATGGGCACCTCTGTTTAAGTTATGCCTTTATCAGTTTCATTTTCATTCACTTACTGCTATCATAGATTGTCATTCCTTGCTTTCATTTTATTGCATATCCTTCATCTTTGTTTCTGCAATCCCTTTGGCATGCACGTTGGGATTGCTCTGACACTAGGTTTGTTTGTCAGATATGCGTGAAATGGAGATGTGGTGTTGGATACAGGAATTCATGTCTGGTCAGGAATTCTTTAGACTTTGTTTCTGCAATCCCTAGTAGCGAGCATACACTGCCGCCTCATCGTGTCTCATATTCACTGCCGCCTCGTCGTGTCTCGTATTCTACTATAGTTGGGTACGGGGCTTGCATTTACAGTTCAACCTCAAGCAATTATCTGCTATTCCTCAATGGAACATTCTTGTAACTGCAAAAGTACATGTCACTGTCCTCTTGTTATATTGCTGAAAGGTCCAAATTTTCTTTCTCATTGAGCTCAAGTAAGGCACCTTTAAACTCTTAACTAACAAATGTTATCGCATTCCCTTGGAATCACCTACCTGGGTACTAATAAGGATACATAGTCACAGTCTTCTTTCTTTCTTCCCTTTAATCCCACTAATATCAAGTGATGCACATGCATAGTCCAAATGATGACTATTATCAATTTATCACGCTTACTTTGGAACAGCCATTGCAGTACTAGCAACGACACATAGCCCCATGCTCCTCTAGATAATGAATGTTATTGCATTTTGGAGCTTCCCATTCATGGTGTAGTAGGGTGCGCTGAGGTTCTATACGAGCACATAGCACATACTCCTAGTTCTTTCTCCCCATTGATCTCCTCATTGAACGCTGGTAAGGAATCACCAAAGTCTAAAGAATGATCATTTTTACTTTCTTGGAGGTGCACGTTAATGGAGTTGCGATCCTTGTGAAGCACTTTGGTGTAGATATGACCACATACAAAGCCTTACTATTTTAAGTTGTAACATGGTGGTGTACCTTTCATGTTTCTTGCAACTTAAAAGAGTCTAGATAGAAGGGACAGTAAAATAAATTTTTAGTTTGTAAGTACCAAAATACTCATTTTTGCACCTTCCGGTTTTCAAAATAGACTATTAAGTAAAGGCACAGAGAATCCATTCCTATATATAGTTCATGTATACAATGCCGCTATACTTTTCCATCTGGAAATAAAAAGTAGGGATAGAACACGGGTGTTGATCTCCATTTAAACTGAATGTTACAGTTGCATTTTCATGAGAAAAAAGAGCAGTGAGAAATCAAAATGCAATCAGAAACTAGAAATGAATTAGGGGTTTTGCCCGACTAAGCCCTAATTTCTTTCTAATTATACATTAGACCCCCCAAATGTTAACAATTCTAATTTACACCTCCAAATCTATTAAGTTGTTCCAGATAACACCCCCTGAGTGGATTCAGTCCATATTTGCGAACAAATTATGATTCACCCTCAGAATTAAGCGGTCTAGTGTGTTATATAGAGATATGAAGATGTGGGGTGTAACACAAAAAGTTAAAAACAATTTAGGGAACAATAATGATAGGATAAAATCATATTTTTAAAAGGTTTTCTTTAATAGATTTGGGGTGTAAATTAGAACTATAAAGATTCGGGTGCGTAGTATATTATACAATTAACAAAAAAAAATTAATGCCTGATATGAGAAATCCCCAATAACTGAATAGCCAATTTCTAATTCGCATTGAGATTTTGAGATTTAGTAAGAGAACCCATTCATACCTTTTCCCCATCAGCGTCCATAGAAAACAGAGATAACCCAGAAATCTCAGATCCCTACAACAAATTCCCAAATTTACAAATTAATACCCAAAAGAGAAAATGGGGAGTAAGTTAAAAATTAAAGGAGTAGGAACCTGGAATCCAGCCGAGGAGATTGTAGAAGGAGAAGGGCAAGAGTAGAGAGCGAGGAGTGGGTTCGAGCTGAGGAGAGGGAACGAGGAGGGTTTGGGTTTACGAGAGTTGAAGGACAGAGAGAGGAGAGAGAAAGTAGTGGAAAGGGAGGAGACCGTCATGGGTATATATGTACTATATAATGAAATTCGTTGGCTTGTTCAGTTCTTTTTCGTCCCACATCGGCTGGGCTCAGGGATTAAAAGCATTTAATTCCGCATCGTTTGATTCCGGATTGTTGGGCCTCTTGCTCATGAGTTACTTTTTTTTTTTTGACTGAAAAACAGGGAGAGGTTCCCTGTTCATAATATATATATATATATATAAGGTTAACCAACCGTTATGATTACACACATATTATAAAAGTGAAGGGAAAGAAACATGAGGCGCATTTAGCGATAAGGAGCGGACCTTGTCGTCACCTATCAGAACAATTCGCTCATGTTTCAACCCACACAAAAGAGCAAACTACGAGAAAAAAGGAAAAAAGAGAAAAGAAAAGATAGCAAAGTGATTGAACACCTGATAAAACAAACCACATAAACAAATCCACCAAAAAGAAAAGATAAAGAGGGCTACGGAACCGAACAGAGCAATCTGTCAGAAAAGTAGACACCCTCATATACTGCGGCGAGCTTCTTCACAGGAGCCTGAAACTCTACTGACCATCCTATCTTTTCAACCAAAATGCTGACGATGGTCAATGAGTTACTTAGATCCCTAGTACATGTATTGTTTTCTTTAGTCGAACATACATTGTATTTTATTATTTTTAATATTTACCGTTAAGTGAGAAAACAGAATTTGTTGACATGTCACAAAAGACATCTGCTTTTCATTTCATTTCATGAAAATACTTAAACAAAAGCCTACCATAAGATTCCGTAACATGTTATACATGTACATACACACACAGATACACTGTTGTGTTGTACTATTAGCATGACCATACTTTCCAATAGAAATTTGCAGTGTCTCAACCTTCCATGCTAGGCATTACTACTAACACTAGTAGAAGATGCATTACCTCGGTTATTTGCTGCTTTGCCTCCATCGCTGCTGGACCCTTCACCAAATTTCTTTGCCTCTAGTTCTTTGGATCAGATGGGCACGCTGAAACTCTAGTACCCTGCTACATACACAAAGCAATATAAAAAACATAATCTTTACAAGCATATCAATGGAAATGAATTCCAGAGTTATGAAAATTGTATCAGGCAACTATCGGACTTTTGTTTCTTTAATTTGACTGTGTTGTTGTGAGCCTTGAGTTGTGGTTGTGACATGGTTCGCAATAGGTTGTCCACTCCTGAAAGTTGTAGGTTATGTCATCTCATAAGCTCTAACATGAATATCATGCCACTGGCTTGCGTCCATGAATTGACTGCTAGTTTGGCTACTCCTTTGTAAGACACATGTGCACCGAAGGTGTCAACATTAAATAAAAAAATAAAGAAAGAACAAGACAATATTAAGAAGGTAGGATTATCTTAAATGAATAAATAAATAAATAACAAGACAATATTAAGAAGGTAGGATTATCACATCGGGCATCCATCTCACAATGATCGCCTTGGGTTGACAGTTTTGAGAAGGTATTGGTTGAGTCATTTGTGATGTCCTTCCTCGCGCCTCGAGCTGTTTTTGCACCTCAAGTTGCATGAAAGATGGCAAAAGTTCATAAATTAAGCATGGTACTTAATACATAGAAAAATAATCATTTATCGCTTTGAGGCATCATACTCTCTGGTTTCGCATCAATGAAACTTACGCTTGTTGTAGTTGATGTTACAGTTCCATGTCATCTTTTATTATGCCCACTTTTTCCACATTGGCTGCATACAACCTGATATCCTCTTCTAGAAATGAATTCGGGGTGTTTCATTTTTTTGTCTTTCTTCCTTTCTTCTTTTTTATCGCTTTCGGCCTGGACCTCTAACAATAGCATTAAGAGGAATGATTTCTATATCAGATTCTTTTCAATACTCTTGTCAGGAATAGGTTCAATTATGTTGTTGTAGATTTTTGTGTATCTTTCCACTGTGTAGTAATCATCTACATGTGTCTCAAGGGCTTCTCTATTGTTCATAATGCAAGTAATTGCATGCCCACAAGGGTTAACACTTAACTCACATTCTCTATTGTTCATAATGCAAGTAATTGCATGCCCACAAGGGATAACACTTAACTCTCACCTCCAGCACGTACAATTCTTCTCACTCAAATTCACAACAACTTAGAGTATCAATAGTGCTAACTTAAACCTAGGGCCACCAGAGAATTTCACTTTACATCTATGATATAAAACCTTCCCTTTGTCTACTTTCTTCTGGATCTATGGGCATTTTTTTCCTCTTGACATATATTCTTTTTCATGAGCTTGCATCTAATATTCTCAATGAAACACTAGTAGAAAATGGACCAAACTAGATGGAACAACCTAGACGAAATTTTTTTCCGTCTAGGTTTCTCCAAACTAGATTGAACGAGTTCCGTCTAGGTTATTCCTTCTATTTTGGAGCAACCTAGACGGAACATTCCGTCTAGGATGTTCCGTCTGTTTTGGAGCAACCTAGACAGAACGTTCCGTCTAGAATAGCAAAATAGATGGATGTTTTTTATTTTTAAAAATTAAAACTCAACCTAGACGGAATTCCGTCTAGGTTGAATTTTTTAATTTTTTTAAAATAAAAAATAAAAAACACATCATAGACGGAATTCTATCTAGGTTAGCAACCTAGACGGAATTCCGTCTAGGTTGATTTTAATAAACCAAAAAAAATCCTAACCCTAACCCCCCACCCCCCCCCGCGCGCGTTGCCCGCCACAAGACCCCAAATCCCAAAAAAAACCAACCTAATCCCTCTCTTCCTGCTCTCCCTACCCCATTTCCCCCACCTCGCCGACCCGTTCCCCCACCCCTCGACCTCCTCCACTGTCGTCACCCCCCCAACCGACCCCCGTCCCCAATCAAGCGAACCCCCGCTTCCCCACCCCGTTTGTTGCATCCCTACTGCTCGCTTTTCCCCCCCCACCCCCCTCATCGACGCGCTTTTCTTCTCCTTTCCTCGTTCCCACATAGCCGTCGTCAGTCCTCTCCCCTTTCCCCAACCCCGATCTCCTTGTTCCATCCCCGAAAAACCTGAACCCTAACCCCCCCTCTCCCCTCCCACCCCTTTCCAAGTGCCGCCCACCCCGATTCTCCCCATTCACCCGCCCACCTTCTTTCCTTCCCCCTCCACCACATCTCTCGCCACCTGCCCCGCTTCCCCTCTTCCCCCGTCGCCCCGCCTTTCCGCCCCCAGCTCTCTCCTCTCCTTCTTCCTCTCCCTCTCCCCACCGCCCCACTACCTTGTCGTCCTCTGTTCCCTACCGCATCCGTCAAGTTTGTGTTTCTGCGATCTCAAAAAGCATATTTAGGTAATGAGTTTTATCAATTATTTGTGATTGTTTTATTTATTGGCATTGTAGCATATAGCTACTCTTGAAACTTAGGACATTGGTTAGAATTAGGGAAGAAACTGATGTGTTAGAAGTAATTTGGGATTTTTTTAAATTATGAATTAAAATGAAATTTAAAAATTGGATGAAAAATTAAATCTTTTGATCACATTTAGTAGAATTACACTGTATAGTTTTATGCATTGTGTGAAGTTAGAGCATTTTGTAGAATTCTATTATGTTGTAAAGTTGATTTTTTTTTTCAAAATAATGTCAAAATAAAATATTATTGTTGAAATGTGTGAAAAAATAATGGGTCAATTAAATTTACTGATTTCCCACTAGTTACTTGAATTTGTTAGATGTAGTTTTATGGATTTTTGGATTTTAATAAAAAAACTTTTTTTTATGTAGATGACAGATAATGTAAGTAGCGTAAGAAATAGAAGTACACTAAACGAACCTACAATGAAAGATAAGAAATAGAAGTTAGAGGGCTTTAGTAATCTAAGATGGTAGAAGTACAAGGAAGTTCAACTGAAAAGCTGTTAGTGAAACCATGGTGTGAATATATATTGGAATATTTTTTTTTAATAAAATGAAGCATCTTAGACATAATCAATATGAATAGTAACTATATGCTATTTCCTTTAAGAAGCACATGCAATCTGTGAATAACTTCCATAACATAAAATCTTTCAACTAATGATTACTTTGTGAAGTTAGTTACTGTAAAACCCCATATATTTTGTTAGAAGTATATGTGAATTATTAGTGATAAATAATTCTATTGTAGTAAATAACTTGAGGTCATGTATATACTTGATAACAAGTTATTAGAGAAGTATGAGTGTAATTATATAGAGTTTTATGCATTGGTTTTGACAGATTAGCAAAACATGCACGGATCTAGGAAATGTCTGTTCGGTCGACTTATGAGTCGACTTATAAGTCGACCAATGAGTCGACTGATGAGTCGACCTATGAGTCGACTGACAGGCTGATTTTTAGTTTTTCTTTTCTTTTGCGGGTTTGGTTTGATTTTGTTTTGGGTTTAACCGCTTACATAAAATCTCTCCTACCCGAAACCAACCCCAAAACTCATCAGATCCCAGAGAAAAATCCTAGCCCCTCTCTCTCCTCCAACCCTAGTTCGTTTTTGGCGGTTTTTGGCAATTTTTGGAGGATTTTTGAAGGAGTTTGCACAAGATTTCGTGCAGTGTAGCGGAGGAGATAGTGCTTTGGAAGATCCAGGAGTTTGTGTATCATATCAGAGGCGAGTAACATCTCGCCCAGCTCTCACCCACTGTTTGTATAGTTTCTTTGAGTTTTTATTTCGGATTTTTGAGCCTAAATTACTATTTGCGTATAAAAATAGACCTTTATAGCATATGATGCTAAAATCGAATATTTTTAGTTTTTAAAAGCTCACAAACGAATTTGTAAATTAAGATCCAGATCTGGAAATTTGTTTAAACATGAGTTTTAATGTGATCTACTATTTCCAATATGTTTTTAAACATGTTTATATGTTTAGGGTTTTAATGTAAGTGATTACATGTAAAATCTTTCGTTTATGTTGATACACATGTGTTAGAATCAGAAATATGTTGCTTGACATGACAAAAAAGAACTTTAGTTTGATATTTTTGCAGATAATCATCGTAAGCAAAAAACTGGGGATTTTCTGCTCAGTCGACCAATGAGTCAACTCATGAGTCGACTTATGAGTCGACTGATGAGTCGACCAA